AAAAAAAAAAAGATTGTTGTGGCGTACCAATTCCCCTATTAAAACAACATTCTCTCCACGAATTATGTACAGACCTAATGGGATGTCACAATATAGCTCACCAACTATTACACGCTCGCACGCACCTTCTAAAACCGCGTTAGCTACAAACAACACATTTGCTTTCTTTAGATAAAAGACAATAACAATGTAAACATAATGCACAAATCAAAATGTATGAAAAGTTAAATGCCGTACCGAATTGATCAAACGAGCGAAGAACACCCAATAGTTTTCGACCATCTCGAAGTAATACAAGAAGTTTCTCTGGAAAGCCCCAAAAAAAAAAAAATTAACAATCAAATAGTTAGAATGAGTAACCGTTTCCAGAAACTAAAAGTTATTGCCGGAAAAGGTTCCTAGATAACAAAAAAGGAAGAATTAGCACCTCAATTAGAAGCATCAAAACCACAAAGACATAATAAAAATGAGAAGAAACCTTATCGTGTAAATTAGCAAAGGCATTAGAATTAGATGTAGTTGGACATATATAACTCACATCCACGAATAGCAATTAATCATCCATCGGTCTCAAAATTCGAGTTATATAAACCCTCGAGTCAATAATCGGGTAACGATATGCTTTACTTGCACAACATGATACTCATGGCTTTATACTACAATTTCTCAAATCTGAATTACAGATTTAAGGATAGGCCCTTCATTTAAAAGTCACCAAAGAAGTCCAATAACCAATGCCACAGTTCAAACTCGAAAGCCTTCAAATGATTAACAAAAAAATACAATAAAAAGAAGGGTATTGATTATAGCACGAGCGGCTCGTGAGCTCAGCTCAGCTCGGCTAGTTAAGGCTTGAGCTGAGCTCAGCTCGATGTTCCTAATCCAAGGTAAAACTTAACCTAGTGAGCAAATAAGAAAAGCTTACTGTCAAGATAGCTCGCAAGAGAAGTTGAGAGGTAGCCATCTTCAGGGGCAGCCCACGACATTGACGAACTCAAAGCAAGACTCTAGCTTTTTGGGTATTACCAAAAAAAATCACCGAAAATCGAGCAAATTTCAGTGAACCAAATCACATTTTCAGCTCAGATGCCCCAATTTTTTTAGAACGACGCTGAAATTAAAGCGAAAATAGCTTAAATCTGCTTAACCCACTGACTCGAAAAACAGCAAAAGGGGAAAGCTTCTACAATGAGGATGATAATGTTGACTTTCTGTTGAAGATCTGATCGGAGAGAAACCCTAATTTTCCTTATGAAGGGCCTATCCACAAAAGGGAGGCACTTTTTCAAGAGTTTATTTATGAAAAGTTGTTCTTGATTTTTCTGTTTGTGTTTGTATTCGGCCTTATTTTTTCGTGTTTCAATTATTTTACTAGTACAACACCCGTGTATTACACTAGGTAAATCTTAAATTTTAAAATTTTAAAATTCTTAAAAAATTATTAGTTTTTATAACTTATATCATATACTTACTTGAAATATAAATATATTAGTTGATAAATAATAATTTTATTTTTTTAATTAATATTAAAAATTATTTTATTATTGTTATTTTTTTATACATACAATATGGATGTTAAATCGAAACTCATCAAAAGAAAATTAATTTGATATATTACATATGTAAAACTGATAAAAAATACAAAATTATTAACTTTTAAAATATATATTCAATAGTTATAATAATGAATGATATTAAAATGTAATTAATACATGTAACATGACCATAAATAATCAACATATTTATGGTAATCCGAACCTAATTATTTTTTGTTTGGAATTAAATTAAAATTTACCCAAGCCTAATAGCGAAGCATGTAATTTTGCCACATAAGGTTCCGAAGCACCAGAAGCAGCCACGTAGGCTCAACGCATTCTGAATTAATATATAGGGGAAATTTTATAAGTAATGTTCCCCTACCCACGGTAGACACACGATTAATATGTTTATCGCTTATGTGGCATATGCACATTGGTGATGTTAATATGTACAAAAAAATACATTATCAATGTGTACATGCCACATAAGCGGTGAGCATATTAGCATGTGCCCACCGTGGTTAGGGGAGCATTACTATTCATTTTAGACCGTAGTAATTGTTTATGAATTAAACTATTTTTTATTTGGTTTATTTTTTAAATATAATTAATTTTGAAAAAATGTGGTATGGTTAGTTATTAACGGATATATTAAAATAATATTTAAATAAAATAATTAAAGTTGATTTGATGTAAAGTAGGGAAAAATGATTGAAAGTGATGGTTAGTTAAAATTATGTGAGCAGATTAATAGTGAATTAAAATGGATGTGATGTGTAAGAATGATTGGTTGATATTATTTAATTATATTAATAATTTTGAATATAGTGAGGTTGTCTTCAAGTTTAGTTAATTTGAGTTTCGATTAGTTTTATTTAATTAGATTGGTAAACAATCACCCCCTAAGATGTGCGGAAACTTGGATACGATTTTTTTTTAAAAAAAAAATCCAAACTTTTTTAACTTAGTTATTTTTTTTTTTTAACTCAACATCACTATCAATAATATTACCAATATACTTAAATAATATTATCAATCTATCATTCTTTCAAATCACATAACTTTAATTAATTATTCATCCACTCACATAATTTTAACTAACTATCACCCGAACTCTCTAACTTAAATTGGCGTGAAACTTCAAATCATCTTTCTCATACATTTATAAAAAATTAAATTTAATTATTTTATTTTAAATATTATTTTAACTAGTGGATATCCTGTGCACATGCACAGATGTACATAAAATATTCTAAGTAATATTTGAGAATTTAATATTAAAATTCTAAATAATGAACATACTACATTTTAAAAAAATTGGTCATTAGGAAAAATAAATTAACGATTTTATTATTATGAACAATTGTTTATTATCATTATATAATAATAGTTTGATTATTATTATTATTATTATTATTATTATTATTATTATTATTAAGAAACAATTGTTTATAAGATTCCAAAGTTGTTTGACTATGCTATTAAAAAAATTTACTTATTATTTTTAAAGAAATTTTTTTCATAAAATACAAAAGAAAAAGATAATATTGATGTTAATATAAATAACTTGAAACAATTGTTTATAATTAGGTAATTTATATTTATTGTGAATTATTATCAATTGGTATTAGCAATAACTATTATATAATATAATAGAAAAATACATGATTGCACTTAATAGGATGTATTATGTGAGAAGTAAAAAAATATTAATGATAAATTTTGTAACCGAAAATGGAGGGAAAATTTTTAGAGATTTTATTAAATAGGTTTTATTAAATGCTATATGCTAGCAATTATATATATATAGATATAGTCATTAACAACTAATCTACATTTTTCAAAATTAACAAAACCAAATCAAAGAATCCAAACAAAACCAAACATTTTTATATCCAAGCACCCCCTTAAGTTTTTGGTTTTTGAGAATTGTGATAAACCCCTTCTTTCATATGTTAGCAGATTGGAGATGAACTTAACCTACTATTATTATCATTATTATTATTATTATTATTATTATTATTATTATTATTATTATTATTATTAATAATAAAAATTGTATACTTTAAACACATAAAAAATATAAATATTATTGAAAAATATATTTTCTAGTGCCCCCAATCGCTCCATATTATTTAGCCCTTATGTAGTTTCGTTATGCAATCTATTCTACGGTAATGCTCCCCTACCGACGGTGCGCTTATGTGACATGCACTCATTGGTGATATTAATATGCTAAAAAAAATACATGACCAATGTGTGCATGCCACATAAGCGGTGAACATATTAACATGTGCTCACGTGGGTAGGGGAGCATTACTGATCTACTCAATACCAAGTGTCATTGTTTAGGGGGAAAAAACAATTAATCTGTAAGATTTCTTATTTAGTAATAGATGGGGTTAATTACAAAATCTACCTCTGAAGTTAAAACTTCACTATAATTAGTGGATTTCACGAGTACATCAATCTACTAACATCCAAACAGGTCGTAATGTCACCAAATATTGCGCCACAGAAATGTGATCTGAAAATTCTGAACCTTAGTGAATCAACACAGATGAGGAGTTTCTCTTGTAATCAAGAGCTTAAATAATAACTATGTAAACAATATTGTCGAAAACTTTGAGGCATCCATATGAATCTTGTTCGGCCTCTGTATATTCTCTTAACTTTCGAGTCATGGGCATACTCATCAAGTTAACTGAAGAAACAATCGAAAAAAGGAAAATCAGAGTTAAAGGGTGGAAAGCCCGGAAATAAAAGCACCTTCCCATTTTTGGCGAGTTCTTGGTACAGATTACAACATTGGTCAGCTCAACTATAATTCATCATGCTTTGAGACAGAGCCTGTAGACAAAAAACACAAATGCTAGCATTGAAATCGTGAAAATAAACCGTTCTAATATTGGTAGTGGCAAAAACCGTGTTTCCACAGAAAGGAGATCCAACTTATTGAGTTAAAGATAATGCAAGCTAAAACACTTGTGCAAAATGAAAAGTGGAAGCGATTATTTCTTCAGTAGAGAGGTAAAATAGGATTTTTCGTTTTTACAGTTTACTCTCTTCATTATATTTTAAGTTTTATGGGAATAGATGTTGCAACATAAATCAAGTGTGCATGAATTCGGTCACTAATCCAAAGGCATTGCATGAATTCGTCGACTACTCTAAGGCTGTGTTATAAGCTAGTTTATAGTTGATTTGAATAGCTTATAAGCTTCATGTATTCAAATAAGCTTGGCTTTGTAGGACGAACTTTTTTAAAAAAATCTCGAGCGCATCTCATAAGCTTCTTTGGGTAGATTTTCAAATAAGCCTTGTTAATTAGTGTACTTTATTATATCTATTTTATGTTTTACTTTTCTGGTTTTATTTTTTTAACAGTTGTATTTTATTTTTGGGAAAATATTATTGTGTTAAAAAATTTGCTTATCTTATTAGGTGTCTTACTAGGAAAAGGAAGGAAAAAGAGTGGAAGAAATTTTCTTGGAGATGGAGACCAAAAAAATGAAAAAAATAGTTGCAGCGTGCGTTTTTTCTCGAGAAAATAAGACGAGCAACAACAATTTTTTTAAGGTGGCAACGTGCGGCTTTGGTCATTGAGCAGCTGACAGACTTCTTTAGTTTTGCACAAGAGGTCTATCGGGCTTGCTTTCTTTAATTTTTCATCTCTTCTTATATTCGTGAGACTATTATGGTCTTTGTTTTGTTGATGATATTGATATGATATGATATAGGACACCTTGTTATTGATTTTCGTAGTTCACTAGACGTGTAGGAGTATTTTAGAATTGTTGAAAAACATTGTGATTGATTTGTGCTAGTGAATATTTTAGCATGTTGCCTTAATCTACAAGTGATTTTCACTTCGATAAATTTTGAATCTTCCGCGTTTATTTATTTTGCCTACCACAACTTGCCTGGGACAAAAAGTTATGTTGTTGTTGTTGTTGTCGTATTTATTTATTTTCCGCTGCATGTTTACAATTTTAACTTTGTGTAAAAATTTAAGGATTATTGGTACCTATAATTCTAACAAGCCTATTAAAAATTTCATTTCAACTAGCTTATCAGCTAATTTTACTAAACAATTTTATTATCATATAAACTAGCTTTTTAGTTATTAGCTATAAGCTCAAAATGCACTTAAAAGCTATAAACTAACTTATCAGCTAGGTTTAACAAACATAACCTAAAGGCATCCCCAATTCATACTCTTATTTTAACTTAAAGGACAAGTATTTGTATTTCGATTTTCGCTTCTAAAATCAGACAAACAACCTTTATTCAGGAAAACAAAAATGGCCAGATTACAAAATGCTAACCGTCAATACCCTTCAAAATTTTCAACAGATTTAAAAATTGTAGTCAAACTGCAAAGATGAAATAATTAAAAAAAAAGCTCAGTCCAAGTCTAGCTTTTCGAAATAAGGTTTAGTATCACCAAGGTACAGTATTCATAACAAGCACGAACAAGAAATCACGAGAATTCATTCACATCAATGGATATCAAGTCAAAAATCTACATGAAGACCTGACCTGAAGAGGACTTCTGAAAGAAAAACGCTATTTCTCTTGCAGCAGATTGCGGTGAATCTGAACCGTGAACACAATTTCTTTCTGAGTCAGTCCCGCACAAGGCTCTCAAACTAGCATTGAAACGGGAAAAAATAATACAAACCCGCACGAAATTGGTACAACAGTGTTGCATAGCTTCAAAAGTAGTGATGATCACACAAATTAACTAACCTTCTAGGATGAGTCACTTTAGCTTTGCTTGCATTGGTAGGCCCAATCAAAACACGCCAATCTGCTATCGCAGTTTCCTTCTCCAGAACCATTACTAGCACCGGCCCACTGATTAAAAAAATTAAATAAAAACTCTCTCTTATGTCGAGCTTACATAGAAAAAAAAAATATCTCTTATGCTCGAGTTTAATCAATAAATTTGTTGCGATCATGATAATTTATCTGTAACATTTATGACCGGGAACTTTTAACTATGTGATGGTTACCACGCAAGATTATTCGACAGAACTAACTTCACATTGAGATCAAGATGGAGCAAAAGAGATACCTTGTCATGTATTTAACAAGGCTCGAGAAGAAACTCTTGGAAGAATGTTCTTCGTAGAAACTCTTTGCCGCATTCTCGTCCAATTGCAGCTCGATCTCATCGATTATGCTGAAGCCAGAATCCGAAATTGTTTTCTTGATAACATCAACATGTTTACCAGCAACTCCATCTGGCTTTACCATTGCCAAGGTCTTTTCTTTTCCAGTACCAGCACTAGCTGATGTTCTACAATTCAATGCTTTCAAAATTACCCAACAAAAAAATGAAGATCAAAGAGAACACAGAGCATTTTCAGAGACGAAATAACAGGCAGAA